GAAGCATTAGTCACTGACATTCTGGTCCTCGTCTAGTGTTCTCCAGTACTTTCAGTCTATAAACTCTCAAAGTTGAAAAATGTTCCACTGAATTGAATTCACACCGTGTATAAATCACAAGATACTTTAAGCGACATCTTTAAGTTGTAAGTTTCAATTTTTGCACTATACTAGACTAAAGTTTCAATAAAACTCAAGGAAGTTCAATTCTGATAGGCACCTTTGACTACCATTATATTTGTTGACAAATTCCACTTTTGGAATCCCCAACCCATTGTAACAATTACGAATAGGGTATTCAAAATACAGAAGAACCGAAAAACTTCAGCTTTTCCATTTACGGTATTGTAGTCAAGTACGCACGTCTCTTCCTGTTAGGAACTCGTCATATAGGTGTCGCTGCAATCCACTAAATAATGGTGTTCGCAGTAAAAACAAACAAAAGGGGAAATTCTCAAGTTTCAATGAATAACATAATACCTTTTTGCACAATAGATAACTTTTATGACTCAATAGCCTGGAACATATATTTTATTTTGGCTTCCAAAAAACAGTTATTTTAACAGTTATTTTTCAAGTATTGGTTTACTCATGAAAAAATTTAAATCATTTCACTTTATGCTAAATATTACTCTGAAGATGTTGTCCAGAAGGACGACGAAAGCTCCATAACTAAACCAACCAGCTCAGAGAATTGTTTGTTTGTTTGATTGGATGGAGGATTTCATCATGAGCTGACATATCAGTTAGAGAACCACTGGAAAACCTGCAGGGAGTACTGGACAGCTGTTTCGTCAGCCTAGTTTGGGACTCTTCATCAGTACGCACCCACAGTTATATTATAATAAATAAGAGATTTAAATGCAAGTTCTGTTTGCTTTAACCTTATTTTTACTGTTATATCTGCTTATTTGTTTGTTTGTTTGTTTTAAATGAAAAGTTTTCAATACATCCAATATACATATGAGATCAGATCAGTTAGTAAATAAACAACAAACTGACAGATCTCAGAGTCCCATTCCTTATACTAATCCTACAGGTATATGCTTACTACTTCTAGTAATATCAGGCATGGTTAGTTATAATGTCATGCATACAAAGGGAATTGTGAATGGAAGTAAAATGGAAGTATACACATATAGTGTGTTTGTGTGTGTGTGTGCGTGTTTGTATTTGTAGACAAGCGTATCATTTCAACTTCTGTGAAATGTGAGGTGTCTATTTTTCACGGAATTTTGTGATAACCAACACTTCCAATATGACACACACACATATATTTGTGTCAGTGAAAGTGACTGTGGTATTATACGCATATCTCTTTCAACATACATATATATTCTGTTTGGTTGGTTTATTGATGTTTATTAAAGATACAGTTTAATGATGGGATCCCAATTTATAGAAAACTATTATTTGTACACCTGCATCTTTATTTTTATCTTTATTTAGAAAAAGAAATTAGGTTAAACAAATATACTAAGCATTTATTTAAATGTCATTCAATTAGACAGAGACTAAAGTTAAAACTATCTCAGTTTTTCTACAATTTAACTATTTAAAAGTGTAACATAGAGAAATAGAGATAGAGTGACTAGTATTGATCAGATGTTCAATGATTGTGCTTCTTGTAGCCTCACTTTCACCTCTTCTTAACCACACAGGACAGTGTTCTTGGACAAAAGACAAGTCGAATAGCCAATATACCTAGCTCCACATGAGCAGATGTATTGATTAACACATACATATAGAGTTAGTCAACTGAAGGATCTTGTCTTTCAAACTGTTGAACAGTAATGGTCGACTAGAAAACACTAGTCTAAACAATGCCGGTCGTTAGACTTGGGCTTTGTTCCAAAAGGGTGCAAGAACAATATCCTGCGTGTTTACGAAGAGGTGGAAGTGGGCTTATAAGAAGCATAATCATTGAACATCTGATCAATACTGGTCACCTTATCTTTACAGTCTCTTCTTTTAAAGTAATGCAGAAATGTTGCTTAAAAAGTCTCCTTCACTCATATTTAATATTTCAGATATCTTGTTGATACAATAGAATTCATTTTGAGATAAATTCCTTTATGGACTGACTGACATTAGTTATAGAATCACTCAGAAATGGGAAGCACTAGGTCGGTGTTTCATCCAACAGTGCACACTCATGATCCTCATTAAGAGTCGAATTTATTTATTTATTTTATTTTATTATAGCTTGACTCCATATAGTATTTTTGATACAAGTATGAAATTTTCAGCATGTGATATCGGTGGCCCAAACTTTGCAGGCCGACCATTGATATCGAGTATGCGTCGGCCGGGGACCGAACCCCAGACCATGTGCATGGTCGGCGAGCGTCCTAACCTCTGTGCCACCGACGCATTAAGGGAGGACCGTGAGGCCTCCCCACTGTCAAAAACTACACGCCCGAGTGCATCCAGTTAGGGTCCGTCGCGAGTTTCAACCCACCAAGGTGCAGTGGTGAGCCTCCACCCGGAGTCAGAGCATTCTTGATCACTCTGAACCCGGCGCCAGGTAAGTTTAGGACCATCGTGTTACAAGAAGGGCTGGTTACGAATTAGACCCTGGCTTGGAATTCAGTAACCGATGGCTTCTTACTTCTATCAGTGCATTTTAATGAATCCTTATCACTAATATACATTTATAATATTTTCAAAAATATATTTCTACACCGATTTCTTATTATTGCAATAATAAAGGTATAAACTGTAATATCACATGTACAAATATAACGTCCTAAATATGAAGAAAAACATTCACTGACAAGTGGTTATAAATAACTACATACACGTTTAGTGGATAATAATAATAATTTGCTTTATTCCAAGACAGTACTAATGTTACATACAGTGTGGAATTTTCACCATTTGGTACAATATTGTCTCTAATTTTTATCGAATAACATTAAAAACAATTATAAAGATAATATTGCAGGATTGTTAGTGGTAGATCTCATTTTGGTATTAGTAGTGACAGTAAGATCATTAAAAAAATACAAAAAATTGTAAATAATACTTATTAATGGTGTTAATAGCTAAGATAGTATCGTCAAAGATTACAAATAGGAGATAATAAAAGAGTCAATTATTTTTCTAACGACATAGTAATTCATTAGTTTCACACCTAACATAGTCTTTTTATCTCATAGAACACGGGCTGATCAAATATGGTATCGTCGAGTTTCTAATACTTGGTGGTACGAGCATATAATCTTTTTTTTTACTGACTTCTAGTTCTACCAGATGAGATACAAGGGGAGAGTTGAGAATAGAAGGAGTGTTGGGGGTCAGACAGCATAGATTTAGACCATTTCTCGTATGAGTTTAGATTTCTATCCACAAATGTAGTGACAGGCTGACTAAGTTGCATGAATGATTCATCTATGAGAAATAACAAGATCCGAATCTTCAACACTACAGACAAGTCAGTGCTTCTATATGTTCCAGAACTTGGCCTGTCATGGAGACTGTGTCCAACAAACTACTGCACACTTTCATTAACAACTGTTTGTCTTCTCTGGATACTGAAGATTAGATAGTCATCGGAAAGAATAAGTAATAAGGAACTGTGGCAGCCAACCAACCAAATACCTATTACCCAACAAATATGCAAAGAAAACGGAGATGAATTGGACATCCACCAAGAAAACCTTTGAGTGACGTCACACGCCAGGCCAGGTTCGAATGGAACCTGAATGGGAGTTGACGAGCTATGAGTTCAGTTGTGAAAACGAGGGAAACGATAGCTTTTTGACAATCCTGGAGCCAGCTAAAAGAAGACTGAAGGAAAAGACTGACATCGAGATGTGATCCTGAAGCCATGTGTTCCACTCTGAACCCAATGGAATAACAATAACAACTCATTCACTGAGTTAGCCAAGTAGGTTATTTAGTCACCTCCTTTTTTTATTCCTTCACGGTCCCATTGGAACATAGGGCTTCAAGCTAGAGGCTTGAAGTTTCTGCAGCAGAGTTTATTTTTACGGGATGGGGTTGCTGGCCTTATGCCCAAACTTCTCTCTTTACCAGTCTTATTACTGGCTTGGCGAGGTCCGGGGATCAAACCCCGGATCATGTGCATAGTCGACGAGCGTCCTAACCGCTGTGCCACCGACGCTAGTCAACGCCTACTTGTAATATATATTCGAATTCATCACTTTTTGTAGTTGTTTTGGACCATTTGATTTGCAACTATACCAAAGTCATACATGTTCTACTTCAAATAGTCGTACCCTGATACTATACAGGTAGTAGGCATTTCATTTCAGTGCTGTGGAGAAATTTACTACGGATGCATGTTACACTTAAAAGAGCAACATCAAGCTATAAGTAAACTGTTATGGACAAAGTTTCAATCTAAAACTAGTCTTAGGTTTGTTTGACTGAAAAATGAGATTGTGTAATTGATCTTTGATGATTCGTCAAGGTTCAATAGGTCACCCAAGCAGTTTCATACTAGTTCGTTTATTTGACAGATCACATAGTAAAACAGCACATAGTTTTGCTAACTAAATTCTTCATTTCAAAACAAATCACTAAACAACAATACTTAACAGTGAGAGGTATTATTCTAATGTGTTGATAAACAGCTAAGTTCTAAGATTATCTAGATTACAGTAATAAAATTTATATGACATTCTATCTCTGATGTGTTGAATCACAGTCCGTAATGGTCGCACATATCGCCGATCATTTTAATTAAGCATAAAAAACACTTAGGATAACACTTATTTCCACCCCTATTCGAAATGAGAAGTAAAAAGCCTTATGATTTTTGAACCAATCGGAATTGAGTGCATGCCTCATCACGTGGGTGTATTACACATGCCAATTTTTTGATTGGTTAAAATTTACCTCACATGATTGGACTTCTGTCACCTTAACTCAATTCTCGCACATGCACAGCTCTCATTGGCTATTCTACCAACACGCGCAAACACACCACAATATATAAGTTATGGAAATTAAATCACCATCAATCAGATAAACTTCACTGTCACGCGCTAACATCCACATGATCCCATTCACTGATACACGTGGAGACTATACACGCGTACCACCTATTTACAGTCCACCTCATATAACTACAAACTCAAACCAACCAACTGGATCTAATGTTTCTGAGACTGTGCCTAAATCGAAAGTGCCATCTCGAAGAGGTAGACGATCAAATGTTCCACCTGAGATCAGAGAGCAAACACGTCGAGTAAGTTGATGTGTGATTTGTACAGATACCTTTTTTATGGATACAACACACTTTATGTTGACACAGTATAAGCTTATGATTGCCCCAGTTAGATTTCTTATATTTTATAAAATAAGTAGCAAGAATTAATTGTTTCTACTTTGTACGATGTGAAGTAATATGTTACTGTATTCAGTGTCATTTACATTCACTGTATGTTATGTGACTAACTTCAGCTTCCTCTAATGTTAAAATGACAGTGTAAACGGCATTATGACGAAGTATAATTTCATGACAGAGGTTGTATGCCTTTCCACCTCACTTTACCTGGCTATATATATGTATGTATCAAATGATAATCATAATAAGAGTGTGTTATATGATTAGATTATTCTTTGAAAGTCATTCGATAAGATTGTCTCATGATGTGGTGTATTTCTTCTTTCCTGTTACAGTTGAAGAAACAAAATATGGAACGTAGACGACGTGCATGTATCTCAGATAAAATGAATGCATTGCATAATTTGGCTATGAATCTAATTGGAATCAATGTAAGTATTTACTGATTTATAAATAATATAACGTGATTTATTTGTCATACTATTTGAACTGTTTTATTAGCCCTTATAATTGTTTAAGTTTACAAAGTTGACTACTTGTAAAAGTGAACTGGTTTCTTACTTACCTAGTACAATGAATGTTTATAAAGGATTTGGTTATTATTTGGTACTTATCAGTAGTCACTAGTCACTGTTTATCTTGAGATAACTCATCTTAGACAAAATAGAACATTTCAAGAGTTTGGTGTTGAGGCAGGTTCCTCTAGGGAGTATATTGCATCACATCTGTAAGCCTATCTTGATCATAATAACCTAAAATTCATATATTTTCTTCCCTCTGTATTTTGTATAGCCTGATGAAAATCATAAAGTGGAGAAAGCTGATATATTAAATCTCTGTCACAGTGTATTCGAAGGAATAGTAAATATTGTGAATGATGATCCTGGTAAGTATCTTATTTATTTATGTGCATTTTTCATTGGTATATTCTAAGTAGTCATTTGTTGTGAGATCTACATTTAAAGCGATTATATAACGACGTAAAATCTGACGCATAACGTGATTTTTACTTGTTTAAGGTATCCGTAATAAAGTCACATATCACATTTTTAGTTGTTGATGCATATATTGTATTCTCAAGAGTTGGCTTGCAGGGATTTGATTTGTTTGTAAAGTTTTTCCTCGGGTTGATATCAATTAGAGAAATATACTAAATCCCAAGGTGTATTGGAAAGCTGTTTCGTCCTAGTTTGGGACTCATCATCAAATCCCTACAAACCAACTCGTGAGAATTAATCTGATCCTCGCTAGTGAGTGACTGCCTACAATAATTGGTAGAAGTTAGTGTTTCATGAGTCACTGAGTCGTACCACACTGTTTGAATGGTCTACAAGCCAGTTTGCCTTGTAACTGGAAGGTCCTGGTTTCAAAACCTGGTGGGTGCATGCTGTCGACGGGTTCCTAACTAGGATGAAACAACTGTCCAGTACTCCCAGGTTTTCAGTGGTTCTCTAACGGATATCAATCCTTGTACTTTTTTTTTAAGCGAAGTGGATTTCTTTGGTCCATCTCACCAAATTTTTGTTCCTTGATAACTCGGTTTCTCTATGATACTTAAAATCTTTTAATTGTTACCTGAATAACATTATCTAGGGGTTCGCACGAGTTTATTGAACAATCAGTGGCACAGGATATACATCATAAACTTCCTATTCAATATGATGTATCTAAAAGCAAAAATTCTTGTTTAATATAATGCTTAAGCGTAATAATCGTTTAGTGTTCATTACTGCCATACACTTTTCTTCATTCCTTGCATTGTGATGAGAAGAACATAAGACTGCAAACTATGAATTTTGAGTAGCAATGGTGTTACTTTTATGAGGGGTTGAGGTTACCAACTTCATTCTTTTTTTGGAAGTACTATCACAACTAGTCAACTAGGTCTGGTTTTAAGAACACATTAGACAGGAATCTGTCATTCTTACATATTGTAAGACTAAAATGGAGACTATATACTGGAAACTTGTATTTGAAAAAAGGCAGAAAGCTTCAAAAAGCTTCAATTCCAGTCATATCTTCTTATACAATAAACATCACAGAATATCTTATAAGTTTTTTAATAACACACTATATGGGGAAAAATCTAACTTTCCTGATATTTATGTATACATTATCACATATATATTTCTTCTTATTTCCCTAGAATTGAAATCACGTTTAAAGAAATTACGCAACAACTTGGTTGAATCATTCACGTGTCCTTCAATGTCATCAACGAAGAAGAATATGCCCGCATTAAGTACTGATGAACCTATACAAAATTCTTTAAAATTAAAACAAGAAAATACTTCTATGAATAGACATAATGATAATTTGCACTACTGTCAGAATTCAAATTTAGATCGTAATCAATTGTTCAATGCACAATCATCCCCTTCATCATTTAACCTATCAAGTTGTACAGATTTTTGTCTAAGATTTGATGAAGAGAATAAAGAAAACCAAAGAATACAGTTGTATACAGAAAATTCCCTGTCATTTGATAAAGACTGCTCGTCTGTTGCTCAGTCAACCAGTTCAACAGCAAATCCTCTATTAATATCACCACCCCCACCATCATCGTCGTCGTTTTATTCTTGTTCAACACCAGTGAATAATACACCCATGAAATCTGTTATGTATTCACATGGAAATAGTGTCTTCACAGCATATCATTCAACGCCATTACAATCTACTGGAATGATACATTCACCATTAAGCAACTGTGACAGTGGTTATCACAGTAGTGGTTATACTACTACTACTAACAGTAATATGTATAACAATGAATCCGATGTCAATATTACTTCTTTTGAGGCTTCTATAAATGAACTGAATGCTATTCAGTCATCAAGTGGTATGTTATTAACCAATCCTATGAAAGGTATGACGTCATCGTCGTCGCCATCAAAACATCACTGTTGCAAGTCAATTCATCAGCATCAGCCTTCAAAGTACCGAAAATGAGACTGACTGATCGTCATTCTAATAATAATAATATGACTGGCAATATTCACATTCCTACAACAACTAATAATAATAATAATACATAACTATGAATTCCCCTAAGCCCAATTTACCACCTCCTATGTGGAGACCCTATTTAGATTAGATTAAAGAATAATTTCAACTTAACTTTTGTACAGAAACTGAGCTAAATACTATTTTGACATTTATTTATTTATTATTTATTCATTCTACAGCTAATTACTTTCTCACCTATTGTGAAGTGAAATTGAACTAAGTATCCTGTACAGACTTTAACTACTTCCCTTCTAATTTTTTTTTTGTACATATCAAATAAAGGCGTTTTGTATCTTTTGTTTGACTATTTATTTCTTAACAAAATCATTAGTGTATCTCGTAGCTACGTATTTCAGTGTTAATAGTTTTACTGTAATCGGTATTCAATCCAATTTAAATAGTGATATTCGTCAAGTAACGAAAAGCATAGTTTCGATGAATCAGGCTAAGGACTGCCATGTTTCTAGAATAGAATAGAAACCAACTATTCATGACTTTGTCAGGTAAAATGAAACTAATGAAACACTAAGCACTGTTACGCAACTTCATTAATAAGTAACTGACCTCATACTGGGCTTGGTAAACCTTGTCAGTTATGATTTCTCAGTAGAACTATGAGGAATCTATCGCCATGTCCAGAATATTCTTGTCATAATAGCATTAAATCGACTATCTATAATCTGACAATCCATATCGCAGTAAATGAACGAAATATTCATGTTCAGTCATTGGTTTGTAGGGATTTGATTGATTGGTTACAGGATTTCATCATGAGTTGACATCGGTTAGAGAACCATTGGGAAACATAGGAGTCCTGGACAGCTGTTTCGTCAGCCTAGTTCGGGACTCTTCAGAAGTACGCACCCACCGACAGAGTTCGAACCCAGGACCTTCCGGCTACAAGGCTAGCTCGTAGACCATTAAGTCACTGTGACCCCATCCAATGGCCATCCCATGAATTTTGACTTCTGCCAATTCACAACATAGCGCGACCATTAGCCAGTGTCATCTCTGACGAGTATTTGTCCCTCTGCCTGCTGTACCCCACTGGTCACAACTTCCAACTAGAACCCAGGTAACTACTTACCTGAATAGAGCCAGTCGCTAGTGAGCATCATGTTGATATTCAAGTGTTGTCTGTGTGGATTTGATTGCTTTCAGGATTTCATCATGAGCTGACATCGGTTTTCAACTCCTTTTATTCATACTGTGTAAATCAGAGCTGAATTATATCAACAGTACACCTGAATTAAATGACGTATATTATAAGTAAACACATTTTAACGCTTTGATATTCAGAAGCATCAAAATCTCCAGAGAAAAGGAATTATAAAGTGTTCACATCATCCCATGCGGGACAATATATACTGTTGCAATGAGTAACGATTAAGTGATTAATAGCTCAATTTCGTAATTCAGCCAGTAGAGTGTCAGGCTGGTAATCTGGGAGACTGGTTAAAATTCTACCACTAATCAGATTTTCATTACATCTTCAATCAACAATCATCATTTTTGTTAAGCCATAGGAATTTGATTGACTTCCAGATAGGTTTCGTCATGAGGAGATTACTGACCAGCTAATTACTAGTGATTGACTACAAGATAGGCATCCTGTAGTCCTAGTGAGAAGTTTTGACCAACTGTGTTCAACAAATTGGACATAATGATAGATATTCTCTGATAGCATTGGATGGCGGTGATGCTATAAATCGAATTAATAGAAGTTAAAAATTTGTATAGATAGTTGCATTTCAACTAAACAGCTGAATGGTGTATTACCCAGAACGGAGAGGTACTCAAACCCTGTACTCGTTGACTGTAAGTTGAGTACTTAAGCCAATGAGCTGCACCTCTTCAAAAAGGACAAACTGTTAGAGTAAACCATGCATTTGCCAGCTTCTACAAACGCACCAGAAAGTTACTCATGAATCGTGTACAGTAATTCGACGAGCTCACTTGAAAGTTCAGAGTTCAACCCATTACGTGGCCGAGGGTCCTTACTACTGAACAGTTACAAACTAGGATGAAACAGTTGTCTGCTGTTCCCTGTTTTTCAATGATTCTGTAACTGTTATAAGTCAGTCATAAAATCCACTGTGAAATAAATACACAATACAATTATAAACCACTTTTATGAATCAAATCAAGGGATTCAGAGAGGAGACTCTTTCAACGAATTTATTATCAAGCTATACAATCATATATGTATGGGTTTTTTTATTAAGAAATTATATCCCGTGAGGAGATTGAAACAGAGGTGTTAAAACATAAAGTGCTGTACCTGAACTTGGAATTCAAATGTGACTTAGCTGACACTATCGTTAAAAAAAGGGTCTCATAGTCCCTGAAAAGGACATTCCCTGCAGCATCGTTGAGAATAGCATTTTCTGATCGAACATTGCTGTTCAATAACCTGAAGGATAAGATTACAACTCTGTGCGCGTTTATCAATTCACCTGCTCGTGTGGAGCTAAGTATATCGGTCGTTCGACTCGAGTTTCGTCCAATAGGTTGCAAGAACACTATCCTGCATGACTACGAAGAGGTGGAAGTGGAGCAATATAGAGCACGATCATTGAACATCTGGTCGATAATGACCACTCAACCTCTACAGCCTCCACCTTTGAAGTCATCTACAAGGAGAAACGTAATTTGTCCAAATCACTACTTATCCGACCCATTTTTATTGGTGAAGCTTTGGCCATCGAAACAGGAAGGCCAAATCTCTGTATACAGAAAAAGTTCGTTCAACCCCTCCAACGTTCATGGTCTTAATCCTCCTATGCTAAACTATGATAGACCCTAATCATTTTTCGGCTGTACCTACTTTTCGTTTTGTTTACTCTTCCTTCATCACGTCAGTTGTTACTATTACCATTCTCACTTTAAATTGTCCCCAGTATTATCTCACTTGTTCCACTTGTCATTCTAAATCAGTTTTGTTCTGCAACATTAAATTCTATGTCATCATATCTATACGATTGTACAGCTTGTTAATAAATTCGTTGAAGAGTCTCTTCGCTGAATCATTTTTTTTAAAATTTCAATATATCCTAATCGGAATTTTCCATAAATTACAAATCACTTGCTCTTATTATTTTAACTCTTGTATACAACTTAGTTCTGTTGAACACTAATCAGTCAAATGTGATGTTTTTTCACAGCCTTCACCTTAAAAAGCTAAGAGATTACCTTTGAATAATATGAGTCAAAATCATATCAGTGTACTTTTCCTACAATTTGTTTTTCAAACATTATTACTGTCACTGTTATTGTTGTTGAGTCGTACTTAAAAATAATATGAGTACAGTTCAAATGTGTTAAAAATTTAACGATTTTTTTGACGAGTATACTTATATATCAGTGTGTTTAAGACGAGATTAAAATGTTATTGCTCGAATATATATAATACTTTAGGTCGATTAATATATACCTCAGTATTTATAGGTAATAGTTTCTGAGTGCAAAATGTTGAATACAATTCACAAGATTCGAATCAATTCCCACTCAAGGAGGATACTGCATATTTCACTAAACTATGAATCGTAATTGCAAGATTCACTGTAACTATGTTTCGTTGCTAATAAATACTATGTGATAGAGTAAATCTGAAAGTTAATCTAACAGAAAACACTTTTCAAGAGCCAAATTGTAGGAATTTAATGTGTTTCAAGTTTGATATACTGGTTGATATCAGTTAGAGAACCATTGAAAACCGGTGGCATCCATCAAGTCGGTCATGAGGGTAAATACTGATCGTGCTAAAATCACAAATTGGTAGAAGCGTGAACTCATGGGCCGCTGAATCGGGTCCCAGTGGTTAAATGGCCTGTGAGCTTGCTTTGTAACCAAATGGCCCTGGGTTCGAACCCCAGTGGGTGCGTACTCCTGAATAGTTCTAAACCAGAATGAAATAGCTATCCAGTACTCCCTAGTTTTCAATGGATCTCTAACTAATTTCAATCCCTCACCAAAGTTGAAATAAGACAGTTTAGTTCACTACTTATATACATCTATTAAAAGGAATAATAGTTTTTTTCTCTCAAGAAACTGCTTATTTTCCTGTTCTTGGATTAGTGAAGAATTTAAAATAAAAACAGTTCTCATTGGTTCACAACAGAGAAATATAAAACCAACAATATCTACAACAGGTAGACTGAGCCAACAGTGAAAAGCAGTATATGGCATAGTGAACGTTTCTGCATCGAGGAAAATAAACTAAGCGTCAAAAGACACCTATTCCTTCATATAAATGCATTTGAACAACTATAGGTACCATTTCAAGTTTGTTAAATGAAATGACTAAGTATTCCACAGAGTTCATGGAGAGCTGATATTTGAATCAACTTGTACTTCGGAAACTGGCAGAAATAGATCAGTTTATTAATCAATAAAACAGAGGTGATGAAGATTCCTGGCCAACAGTAACAGCAACAACAACAACATCAGACAATAATCAGCCAGCATAAATGGGAGAAATCTGAAAGAAGCAACCTCCTTCACCTACCTACCTACATGGGAAGCATCGTTTCGAATACGGGCGGACGGAACTATTGAGGATATCAAAGAGAGGATCGGGAAAGTAAGGCAAGCTTTCATTTCTCTCAAGTCGGTGTGGAGGTCAACAGACTACTCAGCATGAAAAATAAGATCGGGATTTTCAATTCCAATGTGAAGTCAGTGCTACTCACTATACGGATCAGAGACTTGGCGCGGCGATGCGTCACGAAGGGCCCTTCGAACAAACTAAAAATCTTCACCAACAGCTATCTTCGCTCAAAACTACTCAAGATCAGATGGCTGGCCAGAGGATCTCTGGGAGTGAACCAACCAGGAACCAATTGTGCAACAAACCTGCAGGAAGAAATGGAGGTGGATTGGCCATACTCTGAGGAAACAACCATCAAGTGACTTCATCACACCAGGTCGTCGCTCCATTGGAA